TATTTCTGAATAAAATTTTAAGACAGTGACGAATATTTTGTAAATCGAAATTGCAAAGGTTTTAAATATTTGGTGAAGAATAAACGAGATTATGTGATAATTTGATTTGCACAAAATTAATCTGAGTTTAAGAATACTGATCGAAGATGAACTAATCTGAAACGACAAAAAATTTTTCTCCAATAGATTATTAATCAACACTTGTCTTTCTATTGTTTGTTGAATAGTTCTTCGCTTAATTCTTTCTAAAATGCTCAATAATTAATCTTCAAGAACAATTTTACTTGCACATTTCCTCAAATCCCTGTTGCCACGCGTTATATATACACTATATACCACTACCTAATTATTCAACATTTCTATTTTATAAATAATTCTGCACCAAAAATCGAGTAATTATATATTCACTATTAATGCTTAATTAGAACTGTTAAAGCTCTAGAAAATAAATAATGAATTAATCATAACCAATCTATATCAATTATATAAACATAAATAGTTTTAATATTCGAGTGAAATAAATTTAATTGTTTGAATGAATCATGAATATGATAAAGAGCTATATATATCGGTCGATGAATTTACCGTTTAACAAACGCAGCAAATCAGTATTACCACATTTCCAGGACGATCGCGTACAACGATCATGACATTTGCTTATGGATATATCGATTTATATATCGGTATACGCGAGTGCGGAGAAATTCATCGTACAATCATCAGCCCGTGAAAGGTAAGTATTTTCAGGAGTTCTCTTATTCAGGAATTACCTAGCGTGTTTAACACAGAGAGGGATGAGTACGGTGCAACTTCATAGTCAGCATGGTTTCCGGCTAACTGGCCTACTCAGATAAGCCGAAACGTAGCAAACTCCTACGGTAGATACGGTTAAGTCGACGCGATTCAGTTCCTCCGTTGGCAGAATTATCGAATTATCGCGTTCGCTACGCTTTAATTAGTAAATCCACAGAACGATAAGCTTATTTGCGAAAAACGAAACGATTTAGAGAATTAAAATACGAAAAATGCAATTTATTTATCGCGACTTCTCTTCCAAATAAGCATAATAATGCTGATTATATAATGTTTAGACATTTACATCTTAATCGCTTAAGATTCGTTATAAAACAACATCATTCGAACATATTTTATAATTATTATATTCACGATTAATTTAATATTACGTATGGTTGTTAATATAATATGGTGGTTACACGAATTTTAATATGAAATGTTAAATGTATTTTAATATATCTTTCATATAAATTTTAATATAAAATAATCGAAGAAGAGAATAACCGATAACTTTGAAAATATAAGTATTAAATCTGTACATAATTCTCAAACCTAAAATATTATTAAACGAATGTCTAAAACGTCTACGGTGGATTTCAACGAATATTGATATTGATTTGGACAATTTTTCTAGTGAATCAAGCTATCCGTTCGACGAAAGTCGTCCAAAATATTACCGCGAAGGTACAATGACTTGAAAGCCCTCGTCTCTCAACGAAGATGAAATATTCGGCTGCAGCCCTTCTCATTTTCCTCTGCCCCTATCTCGGTTTTCGATTAGAGAATCCATATAACCAATGTGGGAATCGACGGAGGCGAGCCATCATTCTGCAGTCTCATGTAAATCGATAGCACATCGTCGAAAATTGCAAAAAACTATCCGCCATTAGAAAACAGGGATAAAAAGAGAGAGGCTAGAGCAAAACGTCAGGTTTGGTTGAAAACAGTGGACTAAAGTAAAAGGAAGGTAAAAAAAAGAAGTCAAATGAGAGAGAAAGCGAATTAAAATTGTCAATGAAAGAATTATAATAAAAAATATTTTAGAAGAGGTACGTTTTTAATACGATTATAATAAAAATGGAAAGTTTACTGGAACAAGATTTTTTAATGCGAAGAAATGAAAAAATGTGGCAAAGGGAAAACGAAAAGATGAAAGTGGAATAGTTTGAAAGAAAGAAATTAGGACATGGTGCAAACGGATTGCCACAGAACGGCAACGAATAATAGGATAGATAAATGCACTGTAAAGTCTGTAGAAGAGATAAAGCAATGATGAAAGTTAAGAGCGAACTGAAATAGGATAAATTGAACAGCAACGTTAAAAATGAAAATATCTTTAGCACCAGGAAATATTCTTAACGGTAGAATATAACAATTGTTAAGTATATGGAATATAGAATTCTTAATACGAATGATTAGTATGTAAGAGAAATATCAAATAATTAAATTAATATTTGTCAGGGAACAAAAATAATAAAAAAAGCGGGAATCTTATTACTTGGAACTAGTTAGTATATGAATGCAAATAATGAATACAATGCAGATACAAATGCTATGGAGAAATACTTTTGAATGATAGCTGTAAACAGCGCAGATGCCTAAAAATCCACAGTCTAATTATAGCATTAATTCTTAAAAGCATTCTCTAAAGCACTTTCTTCTTACACAGACAAGAAAAAGGAGCGTGGCAGAGGCAGAATATCAATTAAAAAGGAAAAAAAATAAGCGGACGATAGCGTCCAAAGCGAGACGACACAAAAATTGACGTTGCTTATCAGCGTGGAGCGCGTAGCCGTTCGAAATAAACGATTCCGGCAACCGTTCCATGAGCATCGAGCTCTCGAACCAGAGGCTCCACCCTTTCCATTCCATTCCTCGACCAGTCTCTCGTGCACGTCCGTTTTCGCCGGTCAAACCTCGACAAAGCAGGCGGAGAAACGTAGATAAAGGTTTTAATTCCGTGCGAATGGATCAACGTGCGAAAATCGAGTGGGTGGGTCGGACGAGGTGCCGCGCATGGGAGGGTGGGAATTGCACAAAGGGGTGGTTAGGTGGGACCCGATTGATGGACTGGCTGAAACAATGGTTAACTTCGCAAGTAATCGCTTAATTCCTGGATTCCCGAACTACGTCCAACCGATTTCCGATTAAACTGTCTTCCCAGCTATCTTTCGTTTTTTCTCTTTTTTCCTTTTTTTTTTTTTCTTTTTAATTCTGTTGATGGAATCGATGGCCTGCGGATTAGCTTCCGCCGCAACGATCAAATCTGCACGCGATACGAGCATGCGAATAATAAGAAAGTTTAGCGACATCAAACGCTACAACTATGGCAACTATGAAACTATGGAGCTGAATTTAAGAAATTTTTCTGCATTATTTTTTAAATTTTTAGGTAGTTTGCGATGCCATTTATGAGGATGTACTCTTTGACTATTTTTTAGCGTTGCAAGACAGGAAGATTTATTTAAATTGTTAGAGATTTCCGTGTCTGGATGGTACTTGTCACGCGGTGAATGTAATTGGATGGATTAAAAGATGTATGATATCTTATCAGCGAAGATTCGAAGGTGCTACAAAATTTTATATTACAATTAGTGAGACACGTTTTATTTCTTTGTTGAAGTAATGGTAGAAATACGTGCAAAATATCGATACTATACTTTGAACCGTTTTATTCATTAATACCCTTGGTACAGTATGAAGTTTTAGATTTAAATTGTTTGATATCATGTTAAATTTCTAAATCATCGTAAAAATTTCTACGACATGAAAAATATACGTGACCGTCACACATGTATAGCAAACAAATACGAAAAAATGAAACAAATTTTCAAATTAGGCAATATACATTCATTACTATCTTCATTTAGCTACATCTTCTTAATTTCTCAGTTTAAAATTGACTTAATTTCAAACCTAGTAGGAACTACAAACATCGTACATCAAGTAATACCGAAACGCACGTAGCAACCCTTCTGCCCCTCGCAAACTCGTTATCGATTAACGGAGGCAGTGAATCGTTACAAGTTACTTCTCTGGCGAACGATTGGGAAAATTTCCCCGAGCGTTCAGCCACTATACGCCAATAGCTTTTTCCCTTATTTTTCTGTGGAACCGGAGTATCTGGACGATATAAAGGTGGCCGCGAAATAAGGCGAAAGAAAGCAAACAATGCCCGCCGGCACGCTGAATGACTCACTTTGTTGCTTTCACTGCGAAACTTTCCTCGTCGAGGTACTTTTAAGGAAGTTTTCGAAGAATAGTAACGGCAATCATTGCCGAGCGAACGGCCGATTTGTTCTTGCCCATTCGGCCAAGAACTCGTCGAGCTTTTTCCCCGGGTATCGCCACGTCCCGTGACGCTTGAAAGCGCGACTACATTTTTACGAGACGATTCTTTTACGTGTCTAAACCGTTCGAACGTTTTTGACGTATCTACTTGAGTAACTAAGTTAAACTGAACAATACAGTGTTTAACTTCTTAAGAATCAACCAGTGAAATAGCGTGTAGAACTCAAGAAGGAAAACGTGAATGGAGTAAGTTGTAATTTTGTTAAATCGCAAAAAGTGTATTAGATTAATAGACACATTATAGAAGCTCATTATGCAAGTCCGGGGTGTAAAAAGGATGAAAGCATTAGTGATATGAAATATTTGTAAAAACTTTTTATTTATATTGTATTTTCTTTATTTATAAAACTGCTTTAAATTTCACAAAATTGCAGCATCTAAACGAAAGGAAAAGCAGTGAATAAAAATATGTCGAGCTACGTCTAGAAATTCTTTTCAGTAGATTTCAATCGTGAAACGACCGAAAAGAAATTTCACATGATTCGATGTTGCGTTGACTTTGGTCCTTAATACATTCGCTTTGACGCAGATAATAAAAAGAAGAAATATCTTTAAACGAAAATGGAAAGAATAATATACGAGCACGTCCTCTGATCTCAATTATTCTATTAAAGTTAAAATATAGACTAGGTAGAAGTCCTTTACAGATTAATCAACGGAGAAAACACGCTTCTATTTTCGTTCTTGTCACCTTTCCTATTCTTTATTTCCTTCATCTTTCGTTACAGTCTACATTAATGATAAAAATTTCAGATCTCATTTAGTATAAATAACAAATGATAAAATAACGAGTTACTTCTCGCAACTTGTATAATTTTTAATTGACAAAAAACTCGGAGAATGGAATTACTCACATGTTCTGTATTTATAGCAGCACCGTCACGAATATCTTGATGATCGGCACCAGAACCATTGACCATACCAGAACCGGCGCCAGCACTTCCGCTTCCTTTTCCACCCACACCGCCAGCTGGTGTTTGTGGCAAGCTCTGGAAAACAGAGAAATAGTATTGAAATAATTTATTGAGACACGAAAAATTTCTTAACACGGATACACATTAGTCGCGCTATAAACAGCTTTTTATACGATTCTTATCGAATCATTCTGTTTACACAAAGGAACACGATTTTTAATTTTCATTTTGATATCAACAAAGTTATCGAGTATTAAATTAAATAAGTTGTTTTATGCGAAACGCTGGATATATGAATTTATTAATAAAATGTAAATAAAATCAGTTATTTTAATGAAATAAAACGAGGTAAAATTGAAGAAGATAAAGTTATTGCTGCGCTATTTGAATTACAAATGTGATTTACTTGAACAATTTGTAACAGAACAATAAACGAAACCACTGCACTTTATTCCCATTTCCTTGCTTCATTTCTCATCTTTCACCCTCGAACGATCTATACATCTCTAATGGAACCCGCCTGCAGTTGCATTCGCAGAAAATCAATCTTCGTTGCTTACAATCAAATATAAATAAAATGAAATAGCTGTCAGAATGTATTTGTATTAAAGCAACGAAAATAGGTAGGTATAAAACACACTATTCATACTTTTAGTTACAATGTTTCCCATACATTAAAAGTATTTTTGTAAAATCACGGGATCGTCGATTCAAGTAATTAATTAAACCACTTCGTAATTAATTATCCTGCAACTTATCCCAGGATGCTAAATCTCGAACTTTAAAAAAATCATGATGTACGAATATATGTACACACTTGTAATATTATAGTTGCAATATATTGAAATTATTTTTAAGGCCTATAACGATTAGTATTTTGACTAACATCTTATTGAAAGTAATTAGAGCACCTTGATGTAAACTCAAAGAAATTTGAGTAAGAAAAATAAATACGTCCGACAAAAAAATCAGAGATGAGATTAAATTAATTATTGGCACAAGAAATATACAATTTTTTCTACGTACCTAATCTTTGGCTAAAAAATTTAACTATCCTTTTTTCCCGTATTTGCGTTCTCTTTAAACCCTCGATGGATGTTGTTCGTTAATTTCCCTACAGCAGGATTTATAAGCGGTAACAGAAAACCAGAGATCCAAAATAAGACGGTATGCAAAAATTACGACGATATAGTGGCGCAATTTAAAGTTGTAAATTACAGGAGGAGAAAGAAACGCGGCCAAGCGAGCCACGGTGCTATTTGTTCGCCCCGTTTCCTTAGCAGAATCTGCGCTAAAATCTTGTCTCGATTTTACCCCTTTCACCCGTTCGTTTCTTTCATCCGGGAAACCTTTTCTCGAACTGTTTTCGCCGTGTATTTCTGGCTCCAGCTTTCTCGCCTTCTTCTGTAGCGAGCGAACAGCTTTTATGAGATGGATTAGATGGGGCAAAGATGGTCGTAAAGGGAAATTTCGTCGAACGTGTTTGCACGTTCTTATTTCTTTATAGCGGAAGAATGTTGTACACAATGATAGTACTTCGAATTTATTTTATTATTTTTGAAATTTGGGATTTGGTTAAAGTTTAACATTTTAATGATGTTTTAAAGAAATTACATAACATGAAAGTATCTATAATACCTTTAATTTGTATTTTACATTTATTATCTTTATCAGGTAAATCATAGAATACGAATTAAAATAAAGTACCTTGAAGTTAAATAATATAACGATGATTAATTCGAGCTTTTATTCCAATTTGTATTGTTTTAATAAATTACTGTAAATAAACAAATAAATTTATTAGTAATATAAGATACGTATTGACGAAGTACGAAATTAATTATTTAATTTGTAGTTTACTTTGTACGTCATATTATTCTTTGGAAATTATTAGAGAAATTATTATAATATGTAAATGTAAAGAAAATAGTATCGTATTTGTAGACTGCGAGAACTATTAGTATAATATATTGATTTAACACATTTTAACTACGGAACAATGCTGTGCGATGCCATTAGACTAAAAGCAGAATTGTCTGGCGCTAGTTTCTATGAATATACGAACCCATTCCATTATCAAAGTGTGCCTCATCGATTTCAATAATACATAGATTAAATGTACATATTCATGGAAGAAAACTTTATTTAATGCACGATAAATTATATATTTAGGAAAGAAATGAGAAAAAAAAAGAAATAAGAATATGATTAAATATGATTATTTCGAAATACTTCACCGACCTTATTGCTGCTTTTAATAAAATATAAAAAAGAAGAACGCGACTGATTATTATCGACATGGAATTATTATAAAAATGTTGAAATGCTGAACAAACATTTTAATGCAACTTTCTATAATTGCGCATACAACATACAACTACACATACGTAGATGTAATGCGTAGTAGACGTATATGTAATTTACTAAGCTAAATTTGCAATGTGTACCGATCGTGCATTAGAGACACGAGCATTTGTTACTATCATAAGTTTTTACCATGTTAAAAGATAATATAAATTACATTTTACAAACAAATTACTTCGCTTTAATAAACGTAATACAGATAACTGCGGATCATTTATAACTTTAACTTCAGTTATATTGTAAACTGCGAATACATTTATCTATTTAGTATAGATTTTCGTGTAATGTTTGGGGAATATCCTGTGTCTGCGAATGAAGCATTTTAATAGCACTTTGCTGTTTAGACATAATGCATTATCAGTTATAGACGCTTAATTGTACGAGTTAAACTTTTCCAATAATGACATCGCTCAAAATGTAATAAATGCGGAAACACAAGTATTACATTACAAGTATTATCACATATATAATATCAAGTAAAATATAATACATAGTAAATGTTAGTTGGTTTTCCGAACAATGAATTCAACAGAAGAATATACTATATTCATAGAGGCAAATATTACAGCTACGATTTAAAATTGTTTCGATATATGTACGAGGTTCAACATTATCTCGTCAAAATAAAAAGAAAAGAAACTTATTTTGTTAACAAATTTTTTATGGTACTCCTTAATTTTCTTTAATCTCCTATTAAAAACAATATTAAAACTATATTATAAAAATCTGTAATAAATATCCTACGAACTTTTCCAACAACTCAATAATACTCACATAAAAAATTCAGAGGAATATAAAGCAATTCTCATATTACCTTCTCCACTTGGAAGATCTAAAAACGATTAACAACTACCGAACCCTAAAAGACCGTGTTCATGATTTCTGTGCGATCCAATCAATGGTTTTTAAGGAGGTACGAGAATGGCCCACAATTACGAGGATGGTATGAAATGCCACGACATTTTGCACGCAATATCACGGTTTAATGACGGCAGCCTTTTAACGAAGGATTATGATACGCTCGTTAGATCTCTCATCAAGGGGAACTTTTCCATATCCTAGCGTTGATATCGATCGATCGCTTAATTCCAGAGAATAAGTGAAAACTAAACATAATCGCGGTACGACAAAGCGTGACGTTAACGGTAACTGACTTCTTAATTACATCAATCTTTTTTCATATTTCGTCGACGAATATATCGTTGCGCAAGAAAGATTGATCGCTTTTTAAACGCCTGAAAGCTGTTCCTCCATGGGGGAAACAATGAAATCGATCGGAATGAGAACGTGGTTATTGTACTTTATATTATTCTGAATGATTTGCATGAAATTAGGTGGTAATAGCGCTGATAAATGAGGGTAAGGAAAAGAATGAGAATAGAGGGTATAGTGAGGGGTGAAAGATGTAAATATCATAGATGCGAAGATATTGTATCTGGGACGTAGACATTTATATAGAGAATTCAATTGTTTGGGAAATAAAAATGATCGGAGTCCGGATATTTGAAACTAAAAATCGAAGAACCGTTATTTCCCTCAAATCACACTGTATATACAAGCTTTGCTAGAAATTTGTTAGAAACGGTGTGGTAGTATTTTACAGTGAGTTATTACAACCTAGTTGGATATACTAAAAACAAGCACATAGTGTTGTGTAATTTATGGAATACAATACTATTCGATGGTATTTTTAATTAATTATAATTGCAATTTAGCCTATGATAGAAATACAATTACAATCTTGTTAGAAAACACCGAAATGCCAAATTTGTTCCTATCTGCACTTGTATCTTATTCAACATGATTTTCTTTAAATATATATATAAATTTTAAATTGCAAATTTTTATATTTTTAAAAAATTGCCTGATTAAATTTTGGGTGTACGATACTTGTTTTAGAACACTCTCACTAACAAGGAGTGAAATAAATACGTAAGAGAAATGGTATTGCTTAAGATCAGATTGCGAAATGGATATCCGTTGAATCTGATTGAAACAGAACTCCTAACAACTGAAAAATGAAACAGGAAATTTAATCGAGCATTCGTTTTATTCAGTGGCCGACACGTACATGATGGTGAAATTGTTAATATATTTTCCGTGAAAACTGCAATATCGATCAACTGCATAGAAAATGGAACGAGTTTCTGCTTTGATCTGAAAAGGAAGAATAGACGTACCTACCAATCAGTACGTAGTTCAACATGACGTTTCGTAACAGTACTGTCACGTTCATTTTATTCCATACCTATGTGCGAAATTTCTTTAATCACGATTGTGTAATCATAAAGTACAACCAGTTTGCCATTTACGGAGCCATGTTATGTATTCATAAAAAGGGAGAATAAAAAAAGAAGTAGTGGAAATTTTTAACAAATAGGTGTACACAGAACTTAAATGAAAAATATACAAATTCTTTTTCCAAGGAAAACGATATTTATTCTTCGAATTTTTCGAATACGTTTTTAAAATATTATTCCCTTTTAATTTATCTATTTCTTTCTTCTACGTTAATTGAACTATTTTTTGTTACTTCTATCAAAATAAAACGAATAATTTACTTCATGCGATGATAAATAAATTAATTTACTTTTTGTATAAAATATTCATGAAATATTTATCTTATATATTATGCAAAAAATTAAAAAAAAAAAAATAACTCTAAGATGATATTACTTGATTCGATCCAGTTTATAAAACCACCTAAACAT